TTTTTTTTTTTTTTTTTTTTTTTTTTTTTTTTTTTTTTTTTTTCCTATGGTGGGTTAAAACGATGAAGTTCCAAACAGTCTATTATAGGTAATTGGCGAGCACCAATGTGTGAATTAAAGACCAAATACCAAACTTTCTTGCATTGTATTATTGTATGTATGGACACACGTAACGTGGGTTCATTTTTCCTTATTCCGTTGTTTCGTGAATCGATGTACCGTTAGGTAAAAATAATTTTTTCGAAAGTATAGATGTCTCAATCTCAATCTCGATATAACATGAACAATGACTGTGCACGGGCTCAAACGGTGACATTTTTCAGTTTTGGAGTCGAAGCACAAGCGGATAAAAAAAATGGGGTGGGAACACTTAAAAATGAGCAGACAAATAAATAAATAAGGTCCCAACATCCTGCCGCAAAAGATGAGGTATACTTAAACTTAGGCAAGATGTTGTCCCAACCAATCACTTGTGGGGAAAAACCCCAAAATTTAAATGATAAAAAATAGAAATAAAAAAAAAAAAAAAAAAAAAAAAAAAAAGGAACAGTAGTGCATTCGATATTGTACACGTGGATGTATAAAAGATAAGGCATATTATATTATACCAATAGAATGTATATATGTATACAAAGGTGTTGTTATTCCCCTCCTATTTCTCGTCGTGTCCACAGAAAGGTTCGGCCTCCTGCAGCGCACGTGTTCGCTGATTGGTGCCGGCAAGGCCACCTCGCCGGGGGCGTCCCTCGGCGGCGGCCAAGTCCAGCTGTGGCAGTTCCTTCTGGAGCTACTCGCCGATTCGTCAAACTCGTCGTGCATTGCGTGGGAGGGCTCGAATGGCGAGTTCAAGCTCACAGATCCGGACGAGGTGGCGCGCAGGTGGGGCGAGCGCAAAAGCAAGCCAAACATGAACTACGACAAACTCTCCAGGGCTCTCAGGTGAACATTTTACAGCACTTGCTCGACTGTTTTTTTTTTTTTTTTTCCTTTCATTTTCTATCGGATGAACAACGAATTACTTTACAATTGTATGATCTATTTTTATTTTCTTTTCTTTTACTGAAACAAATGTTAGTAAATTGTGTGGTTTTNTGGGGCGAGCGCAAAAGCAAGCCAAACATGAACTACGACAAACTCTCCAGGGCTCTCAGGTGAACATTTTACAGCACTTGCTCGACTGTTTTTTTTTTTTTTTTTTTTTTTAAGAAATCAGCACTTTTTGGGTTATTTTCAATAACCAGAGGGAAACAAGAAAAAAGGAGTGGCCATCGTGATTGCCTCACAACGATTTGTTTTACGATTTTTAATTTCGGGAACACGCCAACGGGGCTCAGTGATGAGTTTGCGATGATTCACGAAGACTATATATTTATACCACTGCAGCGCCTGTAAAATCATTCGGTTTATGTCTCGCCGATGATTCGTGAGAAACGAAGCTCGTATATTATTTTAAAGCTGAACGAAATACAACTGGCAATAGTCAACTTGTAGATTGTGAATTTCGATGTCTCGATTGTACTGAATTTAAGAGGAAACTTTTTTTTAACTCATATTCAACGGTCTTTTTAAGCCATACTCAGAAATTCCCATGGTTTTCAAGCACATCCTTGAATAAAAAGAATATTGCGTTGTAATATTCAAACAATTTTTTACCTTTTTTTGCGCGAAAAACCCATTACAATGATTACGTTCGTGTGTAGTGTGTACACGACTCGATATACTTTTGCTAACTCAACGTTAAAAATTACAACTACTCGTTTATATAAAAAAAGAATCCCAAAATAGATGGCATACCCCACACAAATCGGCACCTGATCGGGATACGACGCTGCTGTATCATTTTTTTATTTCAGAGATTTCTCGTGTTTTCACAATATCTCGATTTTTCACGGCTAATGGTATCATCCGAAAAGTTATAATTTTTGTCCCACTACTTCAGTTTGAGAAAATGACGTTGCTATACACCTTTTTCAAATCGAGGCTGAAAATAAGCGTAGGTATTATTAATACATTATGAGGGCGAACCAGGAATGACCATACACCAATACACAAATCAAAGAATCATAATAGACGTTACACTCACCCTATAACTTTTACCAAGAGATGAACCCCCATTGAGTCCCGTATGTATATATTTATGATTATCCACTTAAAATACCCACCTGATCCACTTGTCGCAACACAACAGGTACTACTACGACAAAAACATCATGACAAAGGTGCACGGCAAACGGTACGCGTACAAGTTCGACTTCCACGGGTTGATGCTGGCCTGCCAAGCCCACCAAGCGGGTACACCGGGGTCAGTCGGGCTCGAGCCGTCCAACAGGTCGGTTAGGCCCCAACCGGCGCACCACCACCCGCATGACCTGCATCAGCACCGTGTTTATGCACCCTCGGCGAGCGCGACGTCCACAGGAGCTGTGCCCCAGCACCGTCATCCGACGCTCGTTGCCGCGGGTTTGCGGGCGCAGCCACCACCGCCCCCACCGCAATTTTATTACAGATACTTACCATCGGCGTAACGTGGGTTGACTGCGGAAAGATGATTTTCCTTTTTTTTTTCTTAGTGTTTGTACATATTTCAGTATCAATATCTTATGGGTTCGTGTCATCGGAAAGAAATCATCTTTTCGCATTTCAATTCATCGGTACTACACTTAATTGTTGTTGAGTTAATTTGTTAGGTCGCATGTGACTATACAGTAGGAGGTACAGCAGTGGGTTTTACAGTTTTTTTTTTTTTTTTTTGTTTTTTTTTCAACAACGTAACGATTTTTTGCTGTTGTTTCAACTACCAAGAACAAATTGAAGCTTTAACGAGATTGATATTAACATTGCGTGTGCGTATATGTGTGAGAAATAGATTGTGATTTCGTAGTTTATTGGATACACGCGCTACATGTGGGTAGAATCAAAAAGTATTTACATTTTTTAATTTTACGCGAGAACCCGAGTGATTTTTTTTTTTTTTTTTTTATGATTTCGTAATATAATTTTTCATTGCTATCAAAGAACAATACACGGAATGAAAACAAGTGTTATGGGTCCTGCAATGAATTTTATTGAAATTGAAGTAAAAATTTTTTTGATTGTCAATACATTGACATTAATTAGTGTATAGGTCCGCTGCCTCTTTGGTAATGGTAAATTATAATTGTTTCTTTATTTTCCGCTAAAGTGTGAATGTAGTGCTTGGAGTGTATCTGCACGAGTAAATATTTATTAATTGTTTTTTTTAAAGTTTCTTATATTCTGTACAACTAAGATCTTATGGCCTTGCAAAATCCAAAATTTCTGAATAGTGCCTCTAGAAGTAAATTAACAATCGATTGGCTTTCAGTTAAAAACGTTTTGTACAAAAAACTTTGGGTTTTTTGGCTACGTCGCAATTTTCCGTTAGCCGCTTTGTAATATTTGCATTCTGGAATTATGCAACACGTAAGATGAAAATCTTAGTATTAGGATAGAAAGAAACTTTCAAAGAAGTAGGAGCTAAGAAAAATTCAGTTTTTAATAATAACAGACCCCTTAGTGTGTATATAGATAAATGAATATTAACCCCATACTCGTTAATACAAATGATGATGCGACGTGATGAAAAACATGTTTGGCGACAGTGACGATTTAAAAAATGAATGTTAAAGAATATCCCAGACGAAGAACATGTGATAAACTTTTATGTCACAATTTACTTGTGCAGAAAAAATACCAATCCCATTAGAGTAATGAAGCATTAATTTTTTATATTTCATTTCACAATAATTTAAACCTTAAAATATTTTTTTACTCATGAGTCGAGAAAACTTTCAAAGTTACACCAAATAGTAGTGTTTTTCGCCTGAGATTATAATGCTCGTATGTTTGGTGTTAACAACAAAAAAATAAGTAGTGATTGATTGTAAATAAAATGAGAAAAATACAAATAAAGTAGGATACATGTACGAATACTAAAAGTCAAAATGAATGTAAAGTAATTAGACTGTAGTATACTCAGGTGTCATCATCGGGAGGAAGTCTCGTATTTTACGCACTGTTTTCTGGTGTAAAACTCGTGCGTCTTGAGCAAAGAACAAAAGTCTGCAGTCAATGTCAGACAAGTACGAATCAATTGCCAATTAATGGCAAAAATGTACATATATTTCACAGATGGAATGAGTTTCGAAATGAAAATGTATGTTTTGTAAAATAAAATGTATTCGAAAAAAAAAAAAAAAAAAAAAAATTGCTGTTGCCTAATTTTTTCCCTCTTCTCAATTGATAGAGTATCAAATACGATAGAGTAAATCGATAAATTATTTTAAATATTTACACGATTAAAAACGATTTCATCGTTAAAATCTAAGTACAAATTAATTAATAAACCGATGTTTATGAATAGAAAAAAAAAAAAAATTAATATGTATACAAATATACATGTGAATATATCATGCAAATATATGTAGCAAAAAATTGTGCTCGCACAGTAAAAAATGAAATCAAAGATGTACCAGCGTTTTTGTGAAAATCTACGTTTCCTGCTGGTTACATGAATATACCATTGACTTTGTAACATTAAACATTTTTCATTAATTTCCTTCCCTGTGCATTTAGCTATGCTTAGCACTGGAAAACATTTCCGATCGATGCTGAACAGTATAGTACAATAGCGTTGGTAAAGATTTGGAAACAATTATTTTTTAAAGATTACACGTACAACTCAACGCGAACATCCCATCAACACGACAACGTCAACAAGAGTGAAATTACCAGAAAAAAAATCATAAAATAACGCGAATCTAACGCGTGCCACTCCCGTTGTGCCTTTGGTTTTGTCCTTTACTAATAAAGTAGATCACACACCAATGACCGGTCGTCGGTACACAATTTTTTTTTTATTACATCATTAGGTAAAAAAGTTGCCGTTCAAACAATGTATCATATGATGTTATTAAAGTGCGCAGACGACTTTTTACCATTTGCACAACAGAGATAGCACTAACCTTAATTCGTAAACACGCGTGTCCACACTACTCCGATTTTCAAGTTCCACGCCGCCGACTCTCTCACAGCGCCCAGAGCCCAGAGGAGAGAGACTCGGAACTCGAAACGCCGGCGCCGCCGTCCCTCTTTTTTCTCGCTTGCTTCAAGGTAACAGACACATGCCGCTCGTTGGCTATTTTACGAATCCGTTTTTTACAATGGCATCGTATTCGTAAAAGCGCGTACAAATTTCGCTCGACAAGTACAATTGTTCTAATTTACTCTTGATCTTTTATTTTTAGCTGTAATCCTGTGGTAAACATGTCTGACGTCGAGACGTAAGTGATAGGATTTTTGTTACTTCTCCATAATTGTCAACTAGTTTTTTTCTACTACACTATTGTAGGATTGTTATTGTTAACATCACATCTTTCACTGCTATTGTATTTCTATTGGCTGATTAATTTGTCAATTGTCACAGTTTACTTTGTTTCCATAACCTATAGACATCTGATTACATTTGGAGTTGAGATAACAGTGCCGGTTTTTCCTTTTTACAGGGACGATGTTCCCTCTGCGGGCATCGGAGGAGGTCAAATGGACGTCAACTCTGCTCTTCAAGAAGTACTGAAAAACGCCCTCATCCACGACGGAGTTGTTCGTGGTCTTCACGAATCTGCCAAGGTGCTCGACAAGTACGTATTTATTTTCAAATGCACAATTTAACTTATTCTAAAATACACGGTATGATGATACTTGTAGGCTCCCTCTACTGAGTTGTTACCCATTAAAAGAAAATCATGCGGATAGAAGCCTTTCTGATCAATGTTAATCACTAAGAAACTTGATTGTAAATATATCAGAACACGCTATGAAGTTGTAAACTTGATTTTCAGGAGGCAAGCACTGCTTTGCGTTCTTGCTGAAAACTGCGACGAACCCATGTACAAAAAATTGGTCCAGGCTCTTTGCAATGAACATCAAATACCTTTGATAAAAGTCGACAACAACAAAAAGTTGGGCGAATGGGCTGGACTCTGCAAAATCGACAATGCTGGCAAAGCCAGGAAAGTTGTTGGTTGTTCGTGTGTTGTGATAAAGGTAAGCTATTTTAATTTTTAAACATCAGTTTTCCAATATAGAATTATTTGTTTTAATAACTTTATCAAACTTGAAAGCTTATTGTTTATTTAATTAACGTCATGAACAGTGATTTTTAATTTAATAAGTTTAAATACGTTCAATAAAAATACAATGATGAAAATTTTGGCTCCCTCTACTGACTCAAACCCGAATTCTCAAAACCTGGAGAGTAACCATTGTCTGATTGTTAAAAAGTTCAACATAATTTCAAATAAATTTCCTTTATATATTATAAAAATTGTATTTGTTTTTGTTACAGGACTTTGGAGAAGAAACCCAAGCCAAAGATATTCTTATGGAGTATCTGAAGCAAAGCTCACACTAATTAGGAAAAATATTTTAATAAATAATATTTACAAAACATCCAAAGTCATTTTATTTATTCCATAAACACTGAATTCCGTGAATAAGTGACGTGAATTTAATCAATAATCTTACTACATTCCTCTTTTGACTTTGAAATGTTGTCACATATTGTTTTGTGGTTTGTCCAGTCCTTCACTTGACATTCTCTAGAATACAGAAATATTTGTAAATATAATTTAAATAACACAATCAACTCCCATATAATAAACAGCGTTTGAAGTGTACCTTCCACAGTACCAAGCTTCTTTACATTTTGAGCATCGATGCTTGGCTACATTCTTACATTCAAAGCACTTCTTTGAGTCTACAATATCAAGTTTGTCAAAGTCATAAGCTTCGCTCAAAATCTGCGCCATATTCTTGATATGCTCTATATCTTTTGAGAATAACGTTTTTGCTTGATGTTCAGCGAGTCTTTTCCATCTCTTTTTATATTTTTCTTCAATAGCGGAACTTATCTGTAATTTGGCCCAAAAATTCGAGTAGTTTATAATCGATACTTTTTTATTGATTGTTCAAATTACCTCTGGAATGACTTCAACATTTATTGGCGGTTGAGAACTTGGAGTTTGAGAAGTCACGTTCAAGTATCCTAGCCATCTTCGAAGATCTATCAACGGCGCTATCTGATCAAGAACATACTCTTGCATGTATTTCTGCAACTGTGAAAAAATTTTTTTATGACATGTTCAAATATTCCTCGAAAAGTGATGACTGATTAAAAATTAATGAACCTTAGTTAGTTGGGACAATCGGACTTCGGTAATATGGTAGTACGGAGCGCACTTTGGATTCAACAGTAGTTCCCTCAATCCAAACCACACTTGAGCCTCAAATTTGCATATTTTATCTTGATCACAATCCTCTAATTTTTCCCATCTACCGTTGTAAATCATAGTGTCACCTAAAAGATAGCCCGTACTTTATACACACATTTGCTGATATTATCTATATAACATCTTAGAGTATCGAAAAACGCGCAAAAGAGTAACAAGTAAAAACCGGCAGCACAAAAGAACCTTTGTCGTTTCTCCTCCTCCACGGCTGGAGCTCTACAAGTTGAGAAAACAAGTACGGCACGTCGTTGGTGGTGAGCATACGCGATAGCGCGCATAGCGGCAAGTTGTCCGCGAACTCGGCCAAGTAGCGCAAGATCGAGACGCACCGCATCCCGAGATCGAATTCAATCTGGAGCCTCTTTGCGGCCAACTCTTCCAGGCACGACCTCAAGAAAATAAAATAAAATAATCGTTAGCCGTACACGCGTGACAAAGTGAGCTTTTGCTTACTCGGAATCGTCAGCGGGGGTCTTGGTGTTCTCGCGGTAGAGCAGCATCGTCACGTAACTAACGGCGTAGTCGATGAGATCAACAGCCGAGTCGTCGATACTCTCAACGCTGTCCGAGTGAAACAGAAGGTTCTCGAGCAACGAAACTGCCACCTCCTCGTGGTAGAAGACGCTGAACAGCATGAAGGTGTTGCTCGGCTCGCCGTGTAAATCGACCAGCAGTGGAAAGACCTTTTGCTTCCATATCATTATTTGGATGGCCTCGAAAATCAACAGCGGGATCTACACAGGAAATTTTTTTTTTTTTCTTTGTTGGTGTCTATACAGGCTACATTTTGTGCCATTTTAATGTTATCAAGTAGATTACAAAATGTATACCTACGTACGGACCTTGCCAAAAGTGACGAACCACTCCTTGACGCTTTCCTCGCGCAAACCGCTCGCCTCGAAAACGCTCTGCTCGTTCAGGAGCATCAGCTTTTTGTGGCACTCGAACCAACTGAGAAGAAAAAAAAAGTCTCTTAAACCGTATGTCAACTGCCTCGAGTCTAAACAATAAAATGCCATCTGATTATTTTATTTCAAAACGAGAATAATCATAGGCGACGCGTACCTCTTGGTGCCGACATTCTCGAGATCAGTCCTCTGCAGATTTTGTACAAAAGCCTCGACTTCCCAGGGAGTTAGGATACTCTGCGCCCCTTGGGACATAATTAATGACGAATCGGCGTACTATAACTACGCACAACAAATTGTTACCATCGTGTCCACCATTTGTAAACAAATTTAATGGGTATAGGGGGGTGGATATGACAACGCTCGAGCGTCTACTGTACGGTAAAGGGAAAGGGGTGTGAATATATTCAATAGTCTAATTGGCTTTTGCGTTTATGTAAAAAATTGTTTTATTTTCAAACATCAATAGGCATTTTCAAGGCACTTTGTAGACGTAACTACAAAAGTATTGATAATAAATAAAACACGTAATAATATGTTACGGTAAATCTCCATTTGGGGGTAATTTGTGTATATAAATATGTATACCAGAAAATATACATCGAATAAAATCACAGTCGTCAAACGTGAGACGATTCGTCGTTGTTATCCGCTGCCATGGCTTCTCGATTCTCGTATGCCCAGAATCCATGGAATTCGATTAAAATACTGATCATGGTATCACCCTGACCACTGCAGAAAATATCAATATGTTGGCGTTAATAGATGAGATTGTAAGAGGCTTCAATGAGAATTTTTTAGTGGAAAAAAACTTACCAAGCTAGAAGATCCTGTAACGTTATTTTAAAAGGATCGGCAGGCTTTACCATGTCAAAAATTTCATCTTTAACATCTTCGAAGCAAATGGGCTCTTGGCCGTGTACTGTCATCTGCTCTTGAATAGCCTATAATGTAAAATTATTTACTGATCAAGTTTTTTCGAGTCTAGCAGTATTTTATCATGGAGTATTGATTATTTTGACTTCTTACCCTGAAAAAATAATTTAGCGTAAATGTATCCAAATAACCTTGGTTTTTAATATCCAAAACTCTAAATAGATAGTGCAAGCTTTGTGGTTCTTGACGATTTTCCAGTGCAAGCACAAAGTCGAGGTACGTTTTGTAATCCATTTCTCCTTCATAGGTCAGACACTCTTGAAATACTCTTTCGAGAAAAACCCCGGTCAAAGTGCCAGTTCCATACCTGAAGAAAAACAATTTATACTATCAAGTGTTACTTTTTCTGCTGTGTGAAAATTCAATCGTCGGAAAACGCCTTACCCAGATAACTCTTCTTTATTGAGCATACCATTATGATCTTTATCAAGATTCAAATACTGTCCGTAAACTTTTAGCGCAGAAGGTGCTGAAAACCAGTTTGCTTCTTGAAGATCTTTTGGCAAATCTTCATCTCGCAATTCTAAAAGATCATCAAGAAAGCTACATGCCAATATATCTTGTATCCTTACTCTCCCTGTTCTTAGTGGATCGAGAAAGAAAAGAAATTTTCTGACTGCTGTACAAATGTAGAACGAGTGAAATGATTTTTCCAGTCCCTCAAGTTGAGACAGTGTTGGAATTAATTCCAGTATATAACTTTCCAAGTCCTGTAAACATACGATTTTTCAACATAAGAAATTAAGTATTTGACAAATAATTTTGAAGTAAATAACTTACTGTTTCTCTTAGATATCCTTGCCCTGTGAAATCGTACAGTGAAAGACCAATTCTTGTCTGATGTAGCCAAACTTTTCTCATAACGTAATTGAAAAACGATGTGATACTGATTCTCCCGTGTGGATCCCCTTGTTGTAGTTTTGCATATATTGTAGCTGTGAAGTATCTTGCGCATTTTGGCCCCACAAGTTTGCTAACCTTTTTAAAATCTTCATAATTGATCAGCTTGTCCTCACCCAATGTACCATTTGTACTGTGATGTTGACCCAGTATCATCCACAAGGATTTCAAGTCGATGTTATCAACAACTTGTTTGGAACGCCTTTGCAAAAACAGAGCTCGCGATTCTTCTCTGAGTTTCTGTTGCAGCTTCTCATCTGCATTCGGAATCTAAGAGAAACACTATTAATTATAGTTTACCAACGCAAAATGACAGAAACATGAGATAGTCTGATCTTCTGTACCTTGAAATAAAATTTAGGTATCACTTTGTATGTTTCATTCTCCTCTTTTGGATCAGCACCTTTCCAATCTTTGTAAAATTTTTGAAAGTATTCATCTTCAATTTTTTCATTATCTTCCTCCGTGTTTCGAATTGTCTCATCAGCAACTAAGGATAAAAAAAATAACGCTCTAGTTTTATCACCATTATTTAGTTAGATGAAAAATGTATATAAATAATCTAACGCTTTTTCGAAACGACGCAATTCCGCAGCAAGGACGCTAATTCCATGACCAAAATCTAAGGATGGAGGTTAAGATAAAATAAACATCATAGTTGGGATCGTTACAGCACTTTTTAATTCATCACAATATTTCTATGACTCTGTAGGTACATTTTGGATTTCTTAAAGTTTAATTTAAATATTATCAATCTTTCAATTTCGAAGTTTGTTTACTGGCACTGCACACACGCAGAAATACGTTTGTCAATGTTTACATGTATATATATATATATATATGCCAATTAAATACAAGTGCGCCCTATATTTCTGTAAATTGACAAATCCAGATCGATAAATAATACATTTTTTAATATTGTTATTTTAAACAAGAGACAAAAGTAACAACAGTTTCAGGTGAATGATAACACATAAAAATGATTTTTAGGACTGAAAAATGTATGTATCAGTGGTTTGTAAGAAATACCAATTATTATGACTGCACGACTCTAAAATTGGAGCTGAAGCAATGTGCGTGTATTTGTTTATTTTTTTGTCATTCACATATTTTATTGTATATATTATGATGTCCTCGTGAGGATTAAATACAAGGGGCAATCAGTTTACTCATAAAAATATTTAGATTTTGTGAACAGCAAGTGTACAGAATACAATCAATAACAATAATACAAGTACCTTTTAAGGGTATTGAATGTATATTCTTGTTGTTTTTCTTTTTTCTTATTTTCTTGAGAGAATCGTCGAAAAAATATACAGCTGTAACAATTTTTAACTCCTAAATTATCAGTAATGTCACAGTTGTTGTGTAGTGTTACATAGGATATGTGGCCTTGGGGTGCTCACATCAGCAAGGCTTGTTAATTTTTACCACAATACCTATTGTTTTTTTCATTTCTCTTTGACTTCTGAACAAGTGTTGCAAGGAAAATAAAAAGGAAAAAACGTGAATGACAGCTGCGTACGTGATGTTGACAGTTATTTGCAAATTCTGCAGGACAGCCAATCATGTGGCTGGATTTTGAATTGTTTTCTTCCCTTGCCCCCGCACACCCAATCGTCGAACGAATCCAGTACAGCGTTGCCAAGTATTCATTCTGGCTCGGAGATTTAAACTTATTCAAAAGGCTGAGTGTAATACATACAATTTTTGTAATTTACTAGTGTAAAGGTGTTGTTAATTATTTTATATAGCCGCAAGTTCCTATACAGTACAACAATAGTAGTTGAAGAGGATTTAATTATCAAGGATCCAATGAACTTTTACTGAAGTTGGATCATCTACAATACCCCAAGCGTGCAATGATTAATTTAAAGATGGTTTGTAGGTAAAAATGTTAATGACAATAATCATTATAATCATAAGATTGAAAATTTTTATTGAAGCGCATGTAAATATTTGGTGGGATAATAGTAACTTGACATATAAAAATAGATTACCAAAATTTTTAACGATTTGACTTTACTTTTTCATTATTTATAGATCGAGTCGTATGACAACGGCATTATAATTATGTGTACAAAATAACAAAAACCTTCTGATGACTCATCTATATTTTCCAATAATACTTTATAATAAGTTTGTGATTTTTTATCTAATAAATAAAAACATTAAATAATAGAAAACAACCCTTGAGAAAGGATAGAGGAAAAACACTCGTTCAAACCTCTCCAGGAAACGCGGCAACGTCGAAAACAAAAATTTCACCCCTGTCTGCTAGTCATCGAGCGCCGCCAAGCAGCAAAGAGTAACAACACGGCTAAGCGGGCAAAGCATCAGGCAGTCCGACCGACAGTTTGCGAGACAACGAACGTACATGCATAACGCAACGGACGTTGTTTAAAAAAGGGCCTCAGTCTTACTTGCTGGATCAATCGATTCGATTATATTTTACAAAAGCGTGCAGTACTTGTTTACAAAAACCAATAAAGTAACCCTCAAAAAGACATAAACAAAAGTGTATAGTATCATGTGTGGTACAACGGAAGTCCGTTAAACCAGCGAATAAACAACAGTGTGTACGTGCGTTGGATATTTTTTAAAATCCTCCGTGGTCCCCTTCGCTCACACGGTGACCAACGGTTAAAAAAAAGGAGGCGCGGCGCGCTTTTAACGTACATTCGTCACAGCATCCGCTGAGGATCGCGTTCAAAAAGTGCAAACAACAGCAGAAGCCATTGATCGTGTCCTGCGGGAAATCCCAAGGAGAAAGGGTGCACCGATCACGTTCATCTGGGAGCAGTAAAAGGAGACCGTATACGCGAAAGCGAGAAACAATGGACCCCTTCACGCAGGTAACGACGAAGCCCTTTCAAGTTCACCCAAGGCGTGCTACACTTTTCCGGTTGATGTTGTTATTTTTCATTGTTATTATCTAAGCTATTATCTACAGCTTCTGCTCGTACCATAACTTGTTGCAGCGGTGATATATTTATACTTTTAACCGCAGTTGTACGTATACCTTACTGCAACAAGCCATGTATACATATATATGCTCCTGTGTTCAGCAGCCGATTAATAACTTCCTTTCGTTCGGCTAATGGACTTTAAATCTTTATAAAGGCCTTTGTAAATAAAATAACCCGTCCATTTGAGCGAATGATAGCTTGATCTATGTAAGAATGCATTTTATGTTTGATACAATTAAGTTGATATTATTATTGGCGCTATACAAAAATCCGCGTCCCTGAAAGTACTTATACATAGTTTCTCACGGGACCAGCCAGTGGATACCCGTTTTTATTGTTGGAAAAAAAAAAATCTGGTCTGGAATGATTTCAGAGACGATGAAAGGAAGTTTTGGATTCATTTCTATAAAAGTCATACTCTAAAATTTGTGAAAAAGTAGCAAGGAAGCTCAGTACTAATTACAACTACTACTGGTGGATTTTTCAATATTATTTGCAAATTAATTTAACAAGGAACACAAATTTGTATCTATAGTATCACAAGGTCGTTTTAAAAGGACTAAACATAATATAGAGGCAATGGGCAATAAGTGAAGGGATAGATTAGCTTTATTGGGTCACTAAAAAAATCGTCATGTTTCTTTGCACTTTCTCATCCCCTTTCGAAAGTTTAAAGAGATGAACAAAATTTACTTATGTACATAAAAAAAAAAAAAAAAAAAAAAAAATTATAAAAATTGAGCCGTCATTCCTCTTTACAAATATCTACAGTAGCCATGAATTTTCTAATATCCCGTGCTCTATGAGTCTCCAAAAGGTACAATAATTGGCAGGACTAGATAGGCTACTTGATACTGCATAGAAAAACGAAGGATTTTTTGAGAAAGAAAGGAACAAATTCTAATTCCCTTATCTATGTTAGCTTACAGATGCCTGTAGCTCATGCAAAGTCTGGATTGGGATCTTCAGGAGAGCTAGTTCTTTCGCAGAGGGCATCTGCTCTTTGCTTTCTCCCTCCCCCCCAAGTTGTACATATAAACGTATCCCATGTTCTTTTCTCTATCCCATTCTTGCTTCTCTTCTCTTTCTCTTTCATTCCAAACTCACGTCATGCAAACGTGCAGACCGACGCTTTTTCAATAGACTTTATAGCCCTCCCTTCTCCCCCTCGGTTTCGGAACAAGCAGGACTTTTGGAGTCGGAGCGACGTTTTTCCTCCGTTACGCTCAAGGACGCTTAGTCAGTTGTATTTATGCATGTCTCTTTTGGCGCTTGCACGTTTTTATGACCCATATATTGTTTCTTTGACAAGATTAAATTACTTGCTGCTTTCAATAAGATCCCCTCGGAATTGGTTCAACTCGACACGTATTGCAACAATTTTTACAGAGAACCGTAAACTTTTCGTACTGAAAGTGTTACTTTCTGCCCACTATCTCTGCACGTAATTAATGTATACATTACAAAAGTCCAAAAGTACAGAATGTCTTTTGCAGCACGTATAATTTCATATATTATGTGCCTCTTGGGTGCAGAAATCGGCAATTTATAGCTCGAGCAATGGAACCATAAACTAACGATTTCCGTACATCACTGTAAATAACATTTTCAGATCCATCCTACGGTTTATCTCTACTTTTAGCCGTCGTCCAAGAAATTTTGTATACTTTCACTTCTTTCGTACGTAGACGTGATGTGCGCGAAAATTGTAAGATGATGAAAACTTTTTTAATTATGTCAATTATTTTTGTTCGCGTTACAATAGATCGTGTTACCATAATATTTTTTTTTGTACATTTTGAGCTCAGGTTGCAAAGTAAACAGTATTTCGGTCACCACTGAGCTTCATTTCATTTTGAGACGAGAGTAAGTTTCGCTGACCATTTCTTATCTTATCTCACCCCCCTTGATTTTATGCACATGGCATCCTGGAATTGAATGATTCATTCTCAACTTTGGCCAGACAATTTCTCTACACACCCGTCGGTTTCTTCTGAATTTTACGGAATTTTAGTTGCGAGAATATTATGTCATGGATTTTTTTGTTTGACATGGGACTGAAAATTTCAAGAATATTATTTTTACGAGAAGAACCAACTGAAATTCAATCCAAACTCTAAAAAAAACACAATTCATAATTTATTTTCTGTGTAAAATAAAAGGTTGTATTAATTTTAGCGTATGTTGGAACGCGCAAAGGCAAGGAGAGAAAAATTAGACACGCAGTTGTCGAATGCTGGACATGACGTACCGAAGAGGCGCAGCCCCTTGAGAGATGCAAACGATATCTTATCTCAAACACCAGGTATTAGTTAGCAAACAGATCCGTGCACAGCTCAGTACTAAACAAACACAATTATCCTAAATCAATATATAATCTTTTATGCTCATTGAAACGCTTGCAAGCAATTATTTTTTATTTACTCGATAAGGACTAGTTTTTTTTTTTACGATTTTTTTTGTGACAAAATCCTTTTTGATTCAGTATAAAATTACTGTAAAAACCCTTTTAAAAAAATGCTTTATGTTTAATAATTAAAAATACTTTTCCCGTAAAGTGATCACGGGTGTCATTGCTAAAAAATCTCCTGTAAAAATGGTAAAAGCATCCGAAACCTCACCTACTGGATCACCAGCGAAAACAATTAGAAAGTTTTCGCCTGAAAAATTTGAAGAGAAAACTCCAAAAAAATACGAAGAGCCGAACAAAGAAAACGACAACAACCAGATCGACAGTGTCAAATCAAAACTTCAGAGATTGGGCAAACTATATTCTGGTAAGATTCTAATAGTACATACACACAGCGAGTTCAAGTGTACGCGATACACATATAGATTCACCCACACAAGCGTCCCAAAACTGGTTTCTGAATGTCCGCGCCTTCTTGTGTACATGCTCTACCTTTCTTCTGCAGGATAGCTCAAGAAAGTGAAAGGTCGTTCCCCCGCTGGAGCCCTTTGTTTACAAGCTGCTACGTACTGCAGCTTTATAAGATTTACTTGAGCTGTACCTGCAAATATCTTGTAATTCTCCTATGCAAATATTTTTTTTTTTTTTTTTTTTTTTTCCTCATACAATTCAAAACGCATGACTTATGCTCGGTTGAAATACATACATTTTTCCCGTTTCTGAAACAAGTTTATGTACTTTGACTGTACAATTAAAACATTATTTCATAAAAACTTGAAAAATTGTTTATTGCTTCAATTAGAGTCCTTTGAGCCCCGTACTTGAAAAAATAAAAATTATTCTCATGCAATATATATTTCATTGATCCAGAGGACAACAGAGAATTGAGCTCCCCTATTCATAGGACGGAAGAAAAGTTTGCCATTGAGGAAATCAGACCAGAGCAAAAGTCTGCAAAGCCAATGGCAAGACTAAACAGACTGGCAGCTCTTGCCTCAGAAATAAATAATTGGGAAGATGACTTGTCTCACCCAACAGCTGTAATTATGAGTTCTCGTAACGTATTTTGATGAGTTCTGCATCTTAGGTAGATAATCAATCAGCCATACACTAACTTTCAGGTAAAGCCTACCTTAAGCAAAGCGGAAAGAGTCCAGGCCAAGCTCAACGAGCAAGTGAGAAATGGATCAGATTCGCAGCCAAGCACCAGCAGTCTGAATGGAAACGGCAGCAGAAAATCCGGCAGTCCTCTCAAGCCTATGAAATGGGACAAAGTCATGTTAGAGAGTTTGGTAAGTGCTGCGATTGGGTTTCAATGCAAAGCAGTACAAATAATTTCCTAAATCCCTATACCTCCTCAATACACGCATAAGCGCACAAATGGCAGTGGTAACTAGGTACATCGAAACGCTTACACGCTTGTACATTGACAGATGACCATAAAATGATTCGTCAATTTATTGGGCCGAAAAACGCAATGTTTTACAGGAGGCACAGGGTTTTAGTCGCGTTAGCAGCTCGAGGCTCGTGTATGACTATAAGAGTTGTTCTCAGGGTACTGGAGGCAGTCAACAACAGTGGCAGCAACAAAAGCCGAAGAATTCATCACCTGCCAAGTCGCCAGCCAAGTCAATTCCAATGTTTGCTAGGACAACGGAGGAGAAGAGTAAGAGTGCCATGTCAACGAGTCCGGCATCATCGACGCTAAGCAACGACAGCGCGAGTAGCAACAATAAGACCCCGGAGAAGCAGATAATCAAGAGCACCGGGAGTGGCGCCAGCTCGCCGGCCGTTAGTAACGCGCGATTGAATTCGAGATTCGGTTATAAGGGCTCCCCTAACAATTCGGCTCCCCATCTACAGTCGTCCCCAGGTTCGGTACTCAGCAAGGCTTCGATGTTCGAGTCCAAGGGTTCGGCCACCAAGACAAAGGATCCCGCAGAGATGACGCTGTCCGAGAGAAAGGCGCTATTCGAGAGAAACAAGGGCGAGGCACTCATACCCAAGGCTCCGCTTACGATGTCCGTGCCAACGAAGATGCTGCAGGAGAAAGAAAAACAAGCCAATCATGCTGGTCAGATATGGAAAAATTTATCTTCGTTTTCTTCTTATTTTACAAAACAAAGAGAAACAATTATCTTGTTTTGAATTTGTTTATAAAATCGTGCGTGACTCGCTCACAAAATATATTCTTATGTCTTGTTGTACTTTGCTTGCTTACAAAGTGCGTAAACTGTTTGTGCTTTATGTATTGCTCGATAATCATTTCCTCATTCGTAAAGCCGTGACGAATGTTTTTAAACATCTTATTGGTCGTTTGACACAACTGTTGTTACGCTCAGCCTCAGTTTAACTATACTCGCTAGCAAACAAAAGGCTGGAGATTGTAATGCTGACATAAATATCATGTGTAATTATTCCTTGCAGATTCAATCGTGAGGTCAAAAATCGACACTGGCCGAGCAGTGGAGGCCCAACGTTCGATATTCGAGCAAGGCATCGTCACTCAAGAGCTGGAGAACAACATCCTCCTGACCGTTCAGACGGAGAGGCAGCGCGAACTGGAGATGCTGCGCTCGCGCTTCAATCGCCACGTAGCTCAGACAGCCGCGAGCACAAATCTCGTGCGAACGAGCGAGAGTAGCGAAGGTGGCAAACCAGGATCCCCCAAGTACTCGCCGGTTTGCCCAGTTAAGCCAACCACCGCTACTGTAATTCCATTGAACATTACCTTTTTTTGATTCATCTATTGTTTTCGGAACTTTGACTCTAACGACCTTTGTTTTTGCGAGATTAGGACCAGGCGCCGCCTCCTCCGCCGCCACCGATGCCTAATGATACAAGTATTCAATCGTGCAGCACTCCGTCCAACGTTAAAAATTCGCCAACCAAAAGACAAGGTACTAAATTTGTTTTTTATGAAAATTTGAAAAAGTATAACCAAAGTATCTGTAATCATTTTCAGTGGCAACAAGTCCTCCAAAACCAAGCGATTCGTTCAAGAAGCTTGTCGACGTGAAACGCGCCAAAGTGTCTCCACCGAAAACCAACCGGCTCTATCCGGATCTAAGACATATCGAATCGACCACAACAGATAGCGACTCTGACTATACCACCGAAAGCACTGCAACACTTGACGCGCCCACAAACACCGAAACCGAAGCTGAATATTACGTCAACGTAAGCAAAATTTTAATATTTTTATCAAAACATTTACTGTTCATAATTTAGCTAAATTAATTTTGATTCTTTTAGAATCAAGATGACGATTACAGCAGTGACGACTACGATGACGATGAAGACGATGTCGAAGACGACGATTTAGGCAATACAAGTTTGGGTCGCAGTATTTTGCAGGTCGCCAGTCAAAGTGCTCTTCATAAAAAAGTATATTAAATTAGAATTTGAATTGAACATCTAGTTTAATTTTATATCTAACTCATCATTTATGCTTCAGAGATCGATTGAACCTGATCCAGATAGTACGACTTCCGACATTTCGGTACTAGATGAAATGGACGAATATCTTGATGAATGTTTAGCTCTCCAAGATGCTACGGAAGAAGGCCCTACTCCTCCAAAACTGAACAGAAATGGAAAAAGCCCATCATCTGCTTCCAATAGTTTCAAGTACATGCAAGGGTACATATTTTGTAATCCAATGTTTGACAACTATTTTCTCTTTTTTTTATTTTCTTTGTGCAGGTCTTCTTACAAATCTCCCATCAAAATAATTTCTCCTGCATCATCGCCGAGAAAGAGAGAACAGTATGTGGTGGGAGAAGGCGGCGTGGTTCCTCTGATGCACAGTGTTAGCTTTTACAGGAAACAACAGTCTCAAGTAAAATATTTTAAAAATTAAAAATGAATGCTTGATTTACAAGATTTGTCATTATGAATATCTTTTTTAGACTCCTAAAACTCCAGCACGTGTCATTTCTCACAAGCCCGACGATAGTGCTGCATCCGTATATAACCTAGAGGAAGAAGACAAAGAAGCTATCTTAGTTCAAGATAAAGTAAAACGATTGCTCGATGAAGTACAGAAGCAACAGACAATTATTGGTCAAGCAAGTCAAGCTTTGAATCTGTGCCATTCTACTATAGAGTTTAGCGATTCTCGCGAGCAAGTTGAAGGAGAAAGGCTATTGTTACTCGCAAGTACGTATTGCCTTTTAATAATTAAATTAATGTTTTTTTTTTTCAAATAAACAAAAAAATTGTAATTATATTCTCATTATTTTAATTTTACAGCGCACAGAAGACAAGCCGCTTTGAATGAAGTTCAACGGCTAAAGGTTGAAGGAACTTTACGACCAGTTGTTCCTGGAGCTCCTGAGGTCCAAGAAAGCGGATCTTTGACTATATCGGCCATCACTCTACCATTCAAGAAAGACTACTTTCACAACATTGAGCCCGGTAAGCCTGCATAACTTTATAGCTGACATCTACCGAATTTTGGAAAGTTTTAAAATAATAAATATTTTTTTCAGAAACATGTTTGCACTTTGTGTGCCTTATTCGTTACCTGGACACGGTAATAGCTACTCCCGTCATTAAAGCTGACTCAGGCGATTCTTGTTTACGTTTTCCTTCTACTTTAAAATTGCAAGACTTGTACAGCGACTTCAAAGTAACTATCGAGATCTACTCTCTGCAGACTCGGGCGGAAATTCTTCCTCACGATATCAAGTACCACATCCACAGTAATGGAAGTAACTGCTCTGGCTTGAACTCCAATAGCAAAAAGGTTGTGTTTAATGTCGTGGATTACATTGAAATTATAATAAAATTATTTTTTAATATTAACGTATGCTCATTTGTTTTTGCTGCAGAGTGGAGGTAAAACACCAAAAAAATTCCTAAAGCAAGAGAGCAAATTAACGATGCCTAACATTCAGAGTCCAGCAGGTCCGTTAGCCGTCCGTACAACAAATTTCAAACTTGCTGGATACGTAGTATTTAGTTTGAAAGAAGTTCACAGACAACAGTTTACTTTAAATAAGGTATGTTATTATGATGACTGCTGTATGTACTATTACCGATGGTTATTTTCAAAAATGCGTAAAATAACATATTTTATTATTTTCAGGTTCCATTGACGTCACCTTTAGAAGGTCGCTTACAAATGCATGTTTCATGCGAGCTGACAGTTTCCGTGGATCATCATGGTTTCTTAACGATGTTCGAAGACGTCTCAGGATTTGGAGCCTGGCACCGCAGATGGTGTCAACTCCAAGGAGCTTTGCTGTCTTATTGGAAGTATCCAGATGACGAGCGTAAAAAAACACCCATTGGAACTCTCGATTTACGAGGTAATTGTTTGAAAAATAAATTTTTTTCAACACTCCATTTGCGTTCCTTGATTTCATAACCCAATTATTTCAGGCGTGTCAACGACAAATGTTACTTTAGTGTCTCGAGATATATGTGCAAGACCGAATACATTTTTACTGGAAACGACAAGACCAGCTCAGCCTGGAGACGCAGACTGTCTTGTTATGGCCAGAAAGGGATCAGAAACGACGATTAGGTAATTATCGATTAAATATCGATGTGTATTAAGAGTAGTGATTAATAAATCTAGTAAAAAATATTTTTATTATTTTGCAGGCATCTATTGTCGGCAGATACAAAAGAAGAAAGGCTAGAGTGGTGTGCCAAACTAAACAAAACATTGAATCTAATTCGTGCCTGGGGTGGTCCATCAACATAAGTATGTAAAAATTAATACATGAATTACAAATTTGTATTTTATGAGCATGAAGCTAGTTTTCATGGATTATATTTGACAGTGACTATTTAATGCAAACATCAAGAGTTTGTGATCAAGTTATAAAAGATTGACTTAATCATTTGAATATGATAATTTTAAGATTATCATGGATCTACAATAATACTTAACAAACTGATATTGACTGCAACATTGTTTACTATTTGAATACAATTACTTAAATACCAGCATTAAATGCTGAGAATGTATTTAAAATATTTTGCATTTCGATGGATTTATGCCGTTTTCTAAAATCTAAAGGCTATTGATTTAATATTTTTCAGGTATCAGCAATCATTAATATTAGTTTAAAATTTGCAATTGAGTTGATAGGTTTGTTAGATATTATTATAACTATTTAATGATTGATTTTTGCTTCTCTAGATAGTTATATTAGTTGAATTAGTATGTACTTATAATAATCATTGTAAATACCAAAATAAGCTTTTTTTAATGTATTAATATATAAATATATTTATATATCAACGTAGTATTCATATACACATGCGATTGTATGTATTCGTATTAGTTGTTAATAATTGGAAGTATCAGGACCGTGATTTTGTATGTTCTTATTTGTTATTGATTTAATGATGGCCATCATTTAGACACTACTGTTTTTTAAACAATAAATACTTGTAACAAAGATATAATTGTTCAAACTAATATGATTTTTAATGAAAATTGGTATGTTTTCCGTTAATTTTTTTTTTTAAACCTTTTGTTTTCCCATTTATTTATCTAAATCAATTGTGCTGATCTAGTAAAAAACTTTTTAAATGTTGATAAATCAAAGAAAAATAATTATGAGATTATAAGCACTGAACAACTATTAAAATGATTTCTAGGCTCAAATAAATCATAAAGCTTTTATTTACTCAATACAATACGTTTATTTTGACGTCATTTTGAGTTGCAATTAAAAATATAAACACATGTTTATTTCTTGCTACCGTAAAAGTAACTCAAAATTACGTAGGTATATATCCAACAATCAATACATAAATGATTAAAATATGTTTGTTCATATGTATATCAGTGTATAGTGTATCGTTAGAAAACGACAGCTAATTTTTTTTTTTAAATCTATTTACATTTTTTTTTTTCGTACAAAAATAGCATTGATATCCGCTCAATGACAACGATTTCTCTGAGTTTTCAAGTAAACACGAATAATTTTTCGAAATCAACAATTAAATTTTATGGGGCTAATTTTCTCGCGACAAACATTGCAAGTTCTCATTGACAATAATGTGATATAGAGTTATTAATTTTTGTACTATACAGGAAAGAAGAAAATCATCCGTCAAGTCACTCTACTTTAGCTGGCCCATTTCGATAAATTTTTCAATTATCAAAAAAATTAATAAGACAAGAATGATTTTCGTGCAATGAATTATTCTCAAGATCGATTTCGAGATGAATGACGATCTGGTAAAATTTACGATGTAAAAAAAAGAAAAACATATTGTAACGCGTATCCAATACGAGAAAAAAAGGCTGAAAAACACTGGAGAGCCGGAAAAATTATAGCGACAGAGGGGAAAAAAAAAAACAATAAGCGAGCACGACGTGATGGTGAGTATAATTAATATTGAGCGAGTGAAAAAGAGGAGGGTCGAGCGGTAAGAAGATGAAATTTAGAGGAGCGTGATCGTGGGATGGAAGCCGTCCTTGTCGGCCTTGTAGTCAACCCTGTAAGTCTTGCCGTCGGGCGTTTGGTACTGAAAACTGCCTGTGACCTCGAGAGCCTCGTCCTCGGTGCCCTGATTGACGATCACCGCGGTTTCCTCCTTTTTGTGCCCATCGCTTTGCTCGTAACTGTAGTGATAGCCTTCCACTCCGATGTTGTTGTTCTCCTCTTGCTTGGTGATGGTGATGCCCGCGTAAGGATTCGGGTTTTGCTGAGGCGCGCACAAGCAGCCCACCACGAGCAACGATAGCACGAAAACCTGCGAATCATACAATTTTTTTTCCTTTTTTTTTTAACAAGCTCAAACTGTACAATTATTGAATAGAAATATACGAGTTATCGACAAAAGTTACGTGGAAGGAGCCTAACCTTNTTTTCCTATACAGCAAATTTTTTTTTTTTTTTTTTTTTTTTTTTTTTTTTTTTTTCAGGTGCTGTTAGCTGATAAAACTAACGTGTCCCCTGGTTTGTTAATTTTCAAAATCAAACATTAATTTATGCCAAAACGATTTGCCGTCAATACCTAATTCTTATTAAATCGTAGATTTATCATTGGCTCGTATAAAGGTTATATTTTTTTTCCATTCATTCATATCTAATTGTTTCTTTAATTTTTAATTGGATAAAGTAAACATGTTTTTATAACAGCATAAAAAAAAAGACTTTTTTATTAGTACCAAATTTTTAAACATAAAAAAATTCAAAAACCTCTCATCTTGATTATTAAAAAAGTTTCTAAATAAATTGTTTTAAAAGGATTATATATTTAATTTTCAGATTTTCCTCCGTTATTGGCGTATTCGAGCAGTCCTAAACAAAAACTTACACAAGGGTAGAAATTTTATAATTTTTATTTACTAATAACATACCTATTTACAAATATGACGTTAAATAAAACAAGAAAAACAGTATTAAAAAATTAAAAACAAAAACAAAGAAAAAAATTATTATTAAAGTCGGTTACCGGTATTCAAGACGTTAACTTTGATCACACGCAAACGCGCATTTATTTACGTGACCAGTAAGTAGTGTAAACCATTTTTCCGACATGTTTAAAATAAAAAATTAATGGTACAAAGATTTAAATTTTCTCTAAATTACACTCGATTTTGACATTAGCAGCTCATCCTCCGTGAAATGCAATATTCCGAAATGCTCTCGCTGTTGGTCGTTTTAATTAAAATCACGTAATTACAACCGTTTCCCAACACCCACGCAGCGCGCACATTTTGCATTATTATTTTCAATTCCTCCAGGATAATCATCTTGAACGCTGTTGTTTAACGATTCGTTAGGCCTGAAATCCCAGACTCGCAAAAACCACGAATGAATAAGCAAACATCAGGAGTAATTGTTTGACGATTTGAAGGGGGATAAATGCGCTCATTAGCGTGACAAATAATTTGTGCAAAGATTATTAAAGTATTTTTGTAAATTACTGTTACAAAATAAGTGTCTTGTGTAGGCCATTTTAAATGAGTCAAGAAAAGCCCGAAACGAATCGTGTCAAGATTTTCCTCCATTCACATCGACATTCATGGTTGCCGAACTGCAGGGGCAGAGAGTGTACCAATTTCAATAAAAAAAAAAAATAATAATAATATGATAAAAAAATAAAACTGTAACATAATACAGAATTTTACATTAACTTTTACATTTTTATAATAAATTTAGGACAAGCAATAATTGTACACTCATGAATTAAGATTAAAAAAAGATAACTTTTGTGAAACAATAATGTAAAATTTTATTTAATAATTGATAGCTTTTTTTATGATGAATTTTTCAAGTAGCAGTGATCCCTCATTCAAAGCTGATTAGTCAGAAAATAGTTGGCATGCCTGTTAGATAATACATTCGCGAATTTATATTTATTTGAATATACATAGATAAAGCGTATAGTGGCTCATATATAACTTACAAACTCGAGTGTTAAGTAACTCTAAAAGTTATAATTCCACGTGAAAAGCGCATGGAATTTCTGACGAATCACATTTATGTCGACTCAACATTTTCCATAGGGTACAAGTGGTGCTTGAATAGCAATTACACACATTTCATGAAAATAAAGTAGCGCAACTGGAATTAGTAGTACACGCTTTTACGGCGACACTTGAGATACTATTTTTTTGAGATTTTTTTTTCAAATACGCAACGAGACAAAATTAATTGTTATTTTCTCTAATACCCATTCGTTACAACAAACTCTCACAAAATAATTTACCGTTACTGGACACGAGTGTAAATAAATTTTAATACACTTCTCACCAAAACATCCGACGTTTGAAGGAAAAAAAAAAAAAAAAAAAAAAAAAAAAATTACCATCCCGCAAGCGTAGCCCGTAATTTACAACTCTACAACGAAAAAAACCAAGGCGCTCGCTACGGCCCACGCTAATTGGAAATTCATCGTGCGCCCGAAATCCATAATTAATTTCACGCATGTAGGTACATCCCAACCGATCATTATGACATCACACCACCGTTTATATACATCATGTATCGCTCTTCCAGAAACCTCCTAATTATCGATCATCATTAGACTTCGATACACTTGTATGGTATGGATATTTGAAGAAAAAGCAAACCCACGTAATTTTCATCTTCATAGTCAGTGAGAACTTTCAAGGTAAAATAAATATTACCCTATCACCGAAAAAAAACCAGATCGAACGAGCCGCAATAACCCCACGCTTCGTTCTCTGTATCAATGTATAAAAAGAAGCAAAGAAAAAAAAAAAAAAAAAACCAGAACACCGTAAAGCTCTAAGGCACATCGATAAGCGTATACCAGCAACACGATACATAATATATGTGTATACATTGTATAGCAAAGATGCAATAAGATTCGCGCAGTATAAGTATGCCGAGCCTTAAAACTTTCTCCTATATACAGGCGCGTGCTGGCGTCCTATAACGTTTGACAATTTTACGTAACCCACTCTTATTTCACCTCTCGCGGGCGAAAGAGGATCGTCTTCTTGGTTTTTCAGCTGCCGCCTCGAGCCAAAATAGGCGCACTCACGTATATTTAATTATACATATAAATCGAACAACATGTATATATATACGTGTATTATGTATCCGCGGGGGGGGGGGGGTGTCACGATTTATCTTTGAGGCGTCGCTGAGGAATTGAGGATCGCAAACAACAAAAACAAGCGCGTTTAATGCTTATGTGATTGGGTACAGTTAATACATAGGCCGATCGGGTAATTACAATTGGGACCCCATACCGATTTTCCGGAGGACGATCGTGATATGTTGATGCTTGGTAGTTTACATTCATGTACCCATAATGTACACGAAGGGGCATGGCATCGCAGTTACTTATGGAGCGTTTGATGAGCCGCGTGACGAATCACGTTTTTCTTTTTTGTTTTTTTTTCCTCCATCGCTCGTCAACTCGTGCGTGGATTTTTGATTAATTTGATCGGTAAAAATGAGTTGTTTGTTTGAATTTTTATGTAATTTAAATTATTTCTAGTCCGAATTCGCGGAAGTTTGTGGCTTAATTATTCGCGTGTACGTATACCCATACTTTTTTAACTTTCAATTAATTGAGTCTATTGCTAAAAAAATTCTCCCTTTCCTGATTGAAAAATCTCTCGACGCTCGTTACTTCCAATACGCTTGTATACCCGCACTGAAAAGTATATAAAAATCGGCCGATCTCAAAACGTGTATCGTTCCAACCGATAAACTGTATGGAAACGGTATAATTTACCACGATTATCTAAAATTTTTTATAATCAGTGAGAAACATGAAACGATGTGTATATGTATGTGCACAAAGTAAAATGTGTCAATTGGAAAATATAAGGTACAATGGCTGACTATAAAACGGGAGTATGAGCTGCTTGTGGGGTTGCTAACTTTTTCCTATACAGCAAATTTTTTTTTTTTTTTTTTTTTGAGGAAAAAAAGGTATTATCTCTTTCAACGACATCCTTGAACGGGTCGAGCGCATACGTTATGACCAAAGGACGATTATTTACCGCGGGGAGCTCGTTAGGAGGAAAAACAAGGAGAGCACGTGGCGTGGAACGTCGCCCGAGTTGCTCGATCACCATCGAACTTTTAATGGATGAGGAGGAACGAGATAATTTGCCGACTGCACGTGAACCATTCATCATCTCGAAGAGTATGCAGGCCGAACGCAAACGGTTTGGTCGGTCCAAGTGATACCTCGATATTTGATGAAAGGGAAGAGTACTACTCCTCTGGGTTTAATTCTACGGGGAAAATTTCACATCCGCTCGATTGAGAGCTTTTTTCATAATCTACTGGTAAAAAAATACAGTAGGTACTTACAGGTGACAATAGTGTGAGCAAAGGGGTGGTATGAATTCTCATCAAAAATCGAGATACCTACTTACTAGTATCTTTTTCCATCAAAGTGTTGGACCACGCGATGTATTATTATCCGTAAACACGGAAAAGACAACTACGCACAGTAAAGCTGGAGGTGTAACTCCAGTGAATGTTATTTTCACTCGTTTTTTTTTTTTTTTTAAGGGTAAATTTTATTCCTGAATTAAGATTAACGCAGTTTGATAACAGATTTTTTTTTTCTCCTCGTATCGCCACCAATGTCGCAGCAAAAAAATGATTAAATACCCCTTCAGGATTTTCCTTAACAATTACTTATACTCAGGTACACTCGAGATGTAGGTATAAACGAGGAGGACAATTGGAGGCACACACGCGCTCTTTATACTATTGGATCCGAAAAATTTTGCAGTCACACGTCTTTGGTCCACTTTCACTGTACGTCCGCGTTGTCGAGTGGTGTAGTGTAAATATAATTACAGAAAAAAAAAATCCAAGATAGAGTGAAAAAGAAAAAACGGAAAGGGGGTAGTAGTAAAAACAGTTGATATTATATTTGTATGTTTACAGTACTTGATGACTCATCACACCCACCGTCTTCATGTTATTTTGCGAACAACGAAATGTACGTAACAATATGAACAACGAAGAACAGCACTATATATATACGGACGTCGATGTCAGAAGGAGCAGCTTCGAGACACACGTGTGATATGTGCTACGTGTACAGTACCCACACCGAGGATGCGCCGGGCGCACTTGGCTTTATATACCCGGATAATTGCACTTACCTGGGGGATACGTATACATAATATCTTACCCACACTGTTATACCACCTACCCCCCCGCCTGATGTGTAGCTACACTCAAACGCGTATATCTATGCCTCTATGGCCCGCCTCCCCCCCGTCGAAGTCGCGGTCTCTATTTCTCATTCTTCTCTCCCTCCATGTACGCGTGTCCATTACACGTATACCTATATGTACACACGTCTACTCTCCTACTTGAAAATATGTATAGAAGAGACGCGAGGGCGCGAGATGGTACTTTTACGTGTACACCGGCTTACCTACATCCTCCACCGCCTATACACTCCTACTCTTTGCTTTGCTCTCACTCCCGGTACTTATACGTGTATGTACACACATAGGAGATGCGCCTCCTCCTTCCATTAGGTACATTCTTCTTGTATACCGTGTGTAACACCATGTATGATCTTCTTTTTCGCTTCCTTTTTTCCCCTTTGACGTGACCGAAGTTGGTACCATATTCGCTGGAATCGCGGATCGGCATTCGTGTTTCGGGGGGTACGCCGTAGCTGGGATTTTGGAAAACGGGGGATGATCGACGATGCCGTTTTGCGGTGGTTATAAATAAACGCCACGTAATTCCATGTTTTTTTTTTTTTTTTTTTCTTTTTTCTTTTTTCTTAAGTCACGCGAGCCCTGGCTGCATGCGTGCGCCTTCCGGTAAATTTTAATCTCTCCCGGTTAATTTGTTTATCGCTGCTGCACAACACTGCAGGTGCTCTGCGTCGGTGTGCCTATACTTGCTTTGACCGTCCATCATCCAGTGTGGCTTTTTTTTTCTTCTTCTTCTTCTTTTCTTACTTTTTCAAAAAACAAAACAAAATTAGCATAGAGAAAAAACATCCAGCGTCATGACGCGTGACGCGATGATTGATTCGTTAATTTGCAAACAAATCATTCTTATACTTTACTCGGATGATCTCTTGCCCGCGGCCTCTTAGGTGTTTTTAAAAAATATTGATGTTTCCTTGGTTTTGGATAAAATTAGATTCAGGTATAAAATGCCGATTCTTTGATTCTCGATTGATTGTGTGCATAGACGTCTCAATTATTATTTTTTTTTTTTTTGAAATTTTACAATAATTCATTTTCCAACTGTTCAGAGATCGAAATTGTCATTTATGTAAAGACACGCGTGTTTTGTATACCAACAATGTTGTTACGTGAATTATCGTACGAGTGTAAAGTTGCGTTGATCAATTGAGACACCAACGCGACGCTGTTGCGAAATGACACCCATCATTTTTATTTATCCGCGTATTCTATACGAATTTTTTCGAGTGGGTTCTCAAAATTATTATTCGTGCGCGTATTCGTATTCCACGTGTCGTTAATTATCATGCTAATTCGAGGGATCTATCGAGACGTGCGAAAATCGCGGAAGTGCGGGGCTATAAATTTTTAACCCTGACATTTTTATTTGTCGTACAAACACAAGTCGGTGGTGCGTGTTATTTTGTTTTTCGCATATATAAGACACGATTGGCACATCGTGTACTATAGTTTCGGCATTGTTCCGAGGTGATGATAGTTCATTCACTTGCTCGTTGCATCTCGATGGAAAAAATATCGAGTATCGACATTTGTAAAGCCCAATAACAACGATCATCCCTTATACCTCGTAAGTTTTGCAAAAAAAAGTAACACCATTTTTCCGAGACAGATTTCATGTGTACGATTTTGTGATGCGAAATCAGAAAAATCCTGTTTACTGCAGGTCATCGTCCATTTTAGTACCACTGAAACCAAGAAACGTGTACGATATTTCGAAGAACTGCTCGTGCAAAAGCTCGACGCGTAAATTTACCACATAGTGTATACGTATAAAAATATTACATCGCAAAAATTGAAACGCCAAAACACCCAAGGGTTTTCACACCCGTGTATATATATATGTGTATACACAATGGTGCTTATACTTAAACACGTGCGTACGCGCGCGCGTAAAATGACGCGAAGAAAAGCGCCGTAAAAGCCAGATTACGCAAGGAATTATCCAATTCCCCGTTTCGACGTTATCACCCGTGACGCCCAGCTAATGGACATTATTCGCGCAGGTGAGAATCACCGAGTACCTATACACATTTCCAACTGAGCAATTAAAAAAAAAGAAGAAACTGGGTGCGGAGGGAAGATGATTAGCGCAGTTCAGGTAATTACGACGGAGCCCGTGGCTGCACACGTATACTTAAATTTTTAATGATCGCGGAACCAAAAGATCGGCACCACGCCGATCTCATACCGATCACTGCTCGTTTCTCGGGGCTGCATCGATAGCCAAACCTCTCCCCCTCAAATCGCGCAATTACAGAGACGAGCTGAGTACAGGGTGTGGGTGGGCGTTCATTTTTTCATTAGTCCCTCCGATCTCCGCGGTTGCATCAGATTTAAAAAAAAAAAAAAAAAAAGGGACGCAATTGTGCTCCCTCCCAATTAGTACGAAAAATCCGTGGTGCGCGTTGATCCCTTTTGACGATCGAAAGAGGGAGGGAGAGGGAGAAAAGACTACGAAAACCGATCACGGCCGAATTCCGCGATTTCCAGGATTCCCCGCTGATGCTCGGCCTCCCCTTCCACGGGCGCGCACGTCCTTGGGATTCCCTCTTTCTCTTCTCCGTGCGGCTCGTTATGACATTTACTTTCCTCGGCTATACGTGCACGTATATATATACTCTCTGTGCACACACGCGCGCAGAGCGAGGGAGGGAGGAAAGCATCTCCGTCGTCTCATCTCTCGCGGCGATCGTGGCGAAAGTGATGCAACCGAGTGAGGGGCTTTAGCCGTACTTACGGCAACGACCTTGCCGCGTCCCGTGCGTTATATATATATATACATATATATATATACCTATACATACGCGAAGGAGAAGATTCGCACGCCGCGGGGTACATTAGCGCCGTCAGCGCTCGAGAGTATACCGATCACTGCGAATCACGAGTCTTGCGTGCACCTGTCTTCTTTTGCAGCGAACAGATGGTGGAGGGGTGGGGGGGGGGTCCTTTTATAATTGTCGTTGCTCGATGATTTATCTACGCGCGGTACATGTACTGTTATATATACGTGTAATTTCTCGTACGTGAATCGAGCGTCTTTTCTTTTTTTTTTTGCGAGGTCTTTTACCGATTTCACGTTTCGAAGGAAGATTGCAATTTAATCGCGATACTTGTACATGGATGTTGTACATTCGATTTCGAGGCGCGCGTCTTATTTAATTTTTTTGTTTTTTGTTTTTTTCCCCAAAAACTTTACGATGCCAAGGGCGTTTTCTCGCGGATATGACACGTTTGTTTTTCGAGGCTATCAACGTTCATGGATTAGCTCGCACGCGCGAGATCAAGCCCCGATTAAACATTATACGTAAAATTGTATAATGTGTACTCTTCGGCGTTGGCCAACGTTGGAGCGTATCGATAATTACACACCTAAGCGCGCGGGGCTCTATTCTTTGGGTGTTCTGTTTATATCGAGCATCCCGATCTTTTGGCGCAACAAAAGCCACTGAAATCAGATCGAAAGACAAAAAAAAATCAGGTCGGCGAGTTTGTTCGACATATATATATATATATGTTTGTGTACCCACACTCGTATGTACTTTCTCCCTCTCTGTTGTCTGGTACACTATTCATCGAAATTAACATCGCAACAATAAAACTTCCAAAAAAGTACGTCCCCTTGTGGTGAAAAATGTTTCCCGCTGACCAGCCAACGCGTAAAGTAAGAAAAAAAAAAAAAACGACAGGTCACTTTTCATAGTCTTTCGAACCATTTGTTAGACGTACACCAACTCGCAATTTGCGGAGCAAGTATATAATACAAACACCTTAAAATCGTCTCGGAGGAAAAAAGAAAGAGGAATGTATCATCGGCCGAAAGTTGTACGTGTATGTAATTAAAAAGCAAACAAAGTTGCAGGTCCACGTCCTACTCTGTATTTACACATACGTATATATACACCGAACGAGGATCGCTCGGCGCTCCTCCCACGCGCCTTCTCCTCGAGGCGTTACCGGCCCAAACAATTAAGAGCTCGACGCTAAGCTATGCGCCTCTGCCCATCTCCGTACGTTGCGTAAACGCCTGTACGTATAATACAGTGTTACACTTCCCACGCTTGGCTCGCCGATTTCATACCGATGCGTATAGAACAGCGAAGACGACTCTGTTTGACTAGTGGACCTTGCGCGTGTGTCTGAATCGATGATGTGTTGCGTGTGGCTGCGAACAAAAAAAAAAAAAAAAAAAAAAGTACACATCCGGAGTCGAAAACAGAGCTCATTGCCGATTTTATTATTCTCGGCGTTTTGCCGGAATCCCTGATTCTGTTTGTTCGGGAGGACGCGCGGAAGAGCGGTGTCGGTGGTACGGGTTATACGAGACCTGCCTTCGTTCTTTCGAACTGGCATAAATTAGCGAGTGATGAAATCGGTGCAGCGCGCTGTTTCTCTGTACGATAGGGTGATATTTTTCGTTGCCGATTTTTCGTCGCTTACTTTTTTTTTTACCGCCAATACATGGAAGAGTACATAGAGGACATTTTCCATTTTCCAACGAGCCAATACATGCACACGAGAGGGAGAGTCCCATCGGCTTGTAATACTTTCTAATGCATTTTTCATTCGCGTTGGCTTTTCGAGTGCATACATTCGGCGAGATGGAAAAATTTACAATCATCGTGCCCTGAAGGAAAACCTGTACGTCGATGGATGATGTATGAAATTGACGATATTACGAAGCGTGGCTGTGTGTACAAAAGTATTGTATATGGTACATCGGTACGCCATAGCTATAACCAAATGACGTAAGCTCTTTAAGTGATTCATCAAAATTTTGCGCGACAGCCAGATTTTCGTTAGTATAATTACGTTTCGAGAAATTTACTTTGCAAACGAGTCGAATCGATTATTACAAATGAAACGCGGCGCGTGTAATAAATGTCTTCCAGGGTTCGCCCATTGAATTAAAATCTATGCTCTGCGGTGCATTTGACAAAATTATTTATCGCCCGAAATCGAATGACCGATCGCGCATTAAAATCGCACACACACGCATAGTTTCGAAGATTTTAGAAAGTACCGGCAACAAGGATATATATATATCTTTAATCATCCGCGAGTGTAATGTCACAAATCTCGTGCTACTGCATTTATGCAAAGTTGACGGTCTTTTATTTTGATGATGGGTAAGCTTTCCTCTTGGCATTCCTGTTCGCTTTGTTTTATCATCAACACCGAATGACTTGGTTTCCGTGTATTGCTTTTTTTTTTCTCCTCTATATAGAAATTTAAATAAATCGAAAAAGTTGCAAATGCCGTGGCACGTGCGTATATACCGTTCGCGATGTCAATAAATACCATTTTTTTAGTAAACATTTACCGGGTAAACGGTGCGAAAGATAGTAAAAGTGTTGTTTTCACGAGCGACGCGTCAAAAGTAGAACGAGCGTAACGATGGTCAGACGACGGATAAGTACAAGAGTCGTGTGTGGAAAAAACAAGATACGACGACGGTGGAAAATCGTACAAGTACACGAGTCAAGTATCGTAAAGTAGGATTTTTTAAAACAAGCGTTATACTTATGCCGAATCGGCAGGTATATGTGTACAAATGTTGCATAACCAGTCGAGGCTCGGTCCGATCAAGAGATTAGAAAATTGAAAAAAACTGCTTTCAAAAGAATCATTTGGGTACACATGTAGTACCCTGTCGTGTTTGGTAATAATATATACCCACACGTATATATATTAATTTGCACAATCCGCTCCTTTGCGAAAAGTGTACCCTAATAGTGATGTACATGAATTATAGCTTCTTCTCCTAATGCAACGTGTTTGGAAATGTCAACTGTGCAGGAGATGATGTACCTACGTACACCGACAATAGGGAGAACGAACTAATGGTTTTCTAAATATATACACGTGTCGCCCTTTTTCTGTTGATTTTATTGTAAAAACAACATAGGAGCATCAGGTGATTTTGCACGGTAGCCTATATACTTACTCGTGTAGATTCCTTGGACCGTGTATTATTTTTATGAGTATCCACGATGAGTATATTGTAACAATTAACGAAAGAAGTTTTTCACATTAGTCTCTCGACCGTATACGTTACCTACGAGGCGAGCATCGTTGATTTTCGAGTCATTTCGTTGAATGAAAAAAAAAAAAAAACTGCGTAGTTGCGTATATACACACAATTACGCGCACACAGCTCTCTCTCTCTCTCTCTCTCTTATACTGTTGCTCAATTAGCAAACATTCCATAATTTTCGTTTTTCTCGTATATATAAGTACATACTCACGCACACGTGTACACCCATGAGTCGTCACGCGTGCTATAAATATACCTACGTGGGTACATCAGAGAAGGAGAGAAAAACGCGAAAGAAAGACACACACACAAAAGTGGTGTCCATACGCTGGTTTAGCCGCAGGTGATCCGAGCCATCTGTACATTTATTATTCCACAGTTATGCGAAAAAACATACTAGCCGAGAGCGCGTTCGTATACGTATATACCCATAGCCTAGGAATGCGCCTGACAATCACGAGAGAGGGACAATGAAACTTCTGTCGTCCTCGCGCGCGTGCAAACCGCAAATTCTTTCGGGATTGAAGGAGCAA